TGCACATGAGCGGGTCGTTACGCAGTGCTGAGCGCGTGTGCACCTGATCGAGTGTTCTCATCATTTGGCACGGAGATACGCAATGCCGCGGGTGCACTTGAGCAGGTTCTTATCAATTGGCGGGCACATATACAAAGCCGCGCGGTTGTATGCGAGCGGGTGCTTTGCAGTGCGCAAGTGCGTGCGTTTGAGCGAGTGTTCTTACCATTTGGCAAGGAGGTATGCAGTGCTGAGGGCGCGCTTGAGCTGGTGTTCTTCTCATCTGGCAAGCAAATATGCAGCGCTGCGCGGGCGCACGTGAGCAGGCGTTACGCAATGCTGCGCAGGTGTGCTCGAGCGGGTGTTCTTATCACGTGTCACCAAACTGCTTTTGGGCCACAGATCGTAAGGGAACAGGTCATATAGGACTTGGCCGTTTTGTTTGTGTGTGTGCGTTGTTCACGCGGTGTTTCATCTTTGACGCCTATGATAACACGTCCTGCTCGAAGGCCCCGCTGGGAAAAGGCCCCCCTGCGCCGTCTACATCACATGATCCACATCACGCAGGATCAGGCCTCAGCTCCCTGAACAGGTTGCGGCGTACCGTAAGAACCCCTTCGTGTAGACACACTGTTTGCGGAATGATGACAACATCCGCTCAAGTGCACCTGCACAGCGCTTGCAAAACACACTCTCAGGTGCACCCGCGCAGCAACGCGCATCTGCCTGCCAAATCAAAAGAGCGCTTGGCCAAGGAAACACTGAGGTGAACTGTTTTGAAGTGTGGAGAAGGCTGGTAGAACCAAAGCATGGGTTTGGAGAAAACATATGCCAAGTCCATCTTTGCCCAGTGATGTTGCGCAATGCTCAACGTCTTGAGCAGTACCTCGCCAATGGAACTGACCAAGGAAAACACGTTTGGGCACAGGAAGCAAAAGAAACAAGAAGCAGGAGGACTAGCGCCCCTGGACATTGGGGCAGTAGGTCCGAAGAGTGAAGGCAAAGGGAAAAAAACGAGACAAAGGAGGAAACAAAGGGAAAGGCAAAAGTGATTCGTTCAACCAAAGCCCGATAGAAGAACCCAAACGAAGGCAAAAGATGGAGGAACGAGCCCAAAGGAGGAAAGAAACGAAGAGGAGAAGAGCAAAAAGGAAAAGGAAACAAAGGTGAAGGAAAGAAAGGCAAATGGGACAGCCTCACCAGCAAAGAAAAGGCAGCAGCCACCCAGATGCAGGAAAGCAGTGTCACATCTGTAAGAAGATGGGGCACATTGCCAACAACTGTTGGTGAAAGGTTGGTGAATGAGAACAAGGGCAACAACGCAGGCACCGTGAGACCAATCCCACGAGTTCAGGCCATTGGAGCCAGTGGAGAAGATGAGGGTAACATGATCCTGACCATCTCCAGTGACAAAAGAAACTGTGCATCACAACCATCATGAAGCTTCTGTTACTTGTGGACTCAGGCGCATGTGAGAATGTTACAACACAATGTGAATTGTCAGAATATGTTGATGAGGAAAGAGGCAAAACACCTGTACGTGCAAGGACAGCCCATCAAGGTGTATGATAAGCAGTACCCTGCAAACCAACTTGGGCAAGCAGCACAGCGCACTTGAGATGTGCTGCAGAAAGCATCAGCGTTCGCAGCATGAATCAAAGAGGTCAGGAGCATTTTGGACCTCAAGGAGGCCATGTCACGAATGGGGAAACAATGAAGCTCGTGCAAGCAAGAGATGGTACAGAACAAAACCTGGTCAAACCGGGGAACACCGGAACCACGAAAGGATGCTCCAGCAAATGTAGCAGACAAAGACTGCTGGAAGTGGAAAGCGTATTTGGTTCGTGTTCACTTGTCACCCAGGAGGAGCTTCTTCTTGCCCTCAGAGGTTGAGGTCAAGTGGCTGTCCAGAGTCACCTATCTCATCAAGGACCCGAGCGAGGTGAATGAAGACAAGTGGACGGGAGATTGTGGCAACCGGGACTGGAGAGTGGCATGGTGAGACATGGTTCGATGTTCAGGGACAAGAACACGAGGGAAGAGAGTTGCTGGATGATGAGGCAACTTTGGAAGAGTTCAGAGCTTGTGGAGAAGGAAAAGGAAAAAAGCAGCCAGAGCCAAAGCTCCATACTTGGAAAGGCGACGGCATGCTGTGCGCCATGCAAACTATGAAGCGTGGCGCACCATATACCTGCCTTGCTGGGCAAGGTAGAGAGAAGCATCGCACCAGAAAGGAGGAGAGCAAAGAGCACGCCCTGCGCTTGGACTACATGGTCCGCAGCAAAGAAGCAAAGCGAATCAATAAGGACAATGCAAAAGAGCCAAAGAAAGCAGTGATTGTGTTGACAGCCATTTGCAAAGACTTGCAATCGCCTTTTGCAGCTGTTGCTAGGAAAGGAGGCAGTAGTATGCTATCAACGCTGAAAGACTTGTGTTGGGCTGTGTTGGGACAAAATGACCATTCATGTTGATCAGGAACATGCCCTTGGGTACTTGCGTGACAAGGTTCGTGATAAGACGGGACGCGACAAAGTGACCATCAGGAAGTCTCCGCGCTACAGCTCGCAATTCCTTGCGGATGGAGAAGCAGTCAATGGACTCTTGACAGGAAAAATTGACTGATGGAGGTGAAGGAGCTCTACAGCGACGAGTCAGTATACTGCGCGAGCCAGCTCTTTCCATGGATTGAAAGGCATGTGGCATGGGCTTTGCGCAGGTATTGCATCAACAAGAGCAACAAAGATGCTGGCGTAGGAACATGCAGAACAGTGAGAAGGCTACCAGTTGGTTCACAGTGGATGGCAATTCTGGAGAGCCAAGGGAGCGTGGGAAATCGGAGGGCATCGAGCAGAAGCCTTCGGAGGAAAGGTCGAACGGTCGAACCCTAGAGCTTGGGAACTGCATGGGAACGCACGGAAGGCTGAACTGAACGAGCGGCGAAAGCGGGAGGAAGAAGCAGAAGCAGCAGCAGAAGCAGCAGTTCACGTTCAGTTTGTGCCGGCAGCAGTGCCGACAATTTCAAAGCACGCCAGCTACCTGGAAGCAAGTGGACAGAAAGTTGAAAAGAAGAGGATTGATGCAGAAGGGCGCCCGAATGAAGGAGACAGGACCATGGAGAAGAGATGCAGAAGATCGACATGGACGTCATCCTCGAGCACACCAGGAAACGCATGAATGACAAAATGACAGCATGACAGCAGTGGCAGGAAGCCTGGTTTCGAACATCATGGCCGCAATGCTGAGCGGCGACGAAATTCAGAAGGCCAGACATCGGACACGGTTGGATCGACAAGACAGCGATGGTAACTGCAAGCGTAGGCTCACTTGCCAGGACTGCAAGAAGCAAAGTTCAGAAGAATTGTTGCTGTCCGACACCTGGCTGTGCAACCAGGAAGATCATAGAGGTCTACAGCCTTGTGCAGATCCGAGAGTGAAAGCAGAACAGCAAAGGACAGCCGGTCGCCAGAAAGGCTGGAGGAATTTGAAGACTGGTTTGCCAGTCAAAGCGAAGAAGTGGGCAAAGAGTTAGGAGACATAAGAAGAGAGGACACAATTTCGCAGGCAGGAATCTGTGCGGGAGGCAAAGTGCCGCAGCTCAGAAAGATCGTCTGGAAGAGATCCTCACTCAGGAGCTTCAGGTGACGTATGAGTTCCACAGAGGTAAGATCGACGCATGTGTCTGCAAGTGCAAAAAGACAAGTGTGGTGATTGTGCATCACATCGATGACTTTGACATGAACGGGCCAGAGAGATGGCTCAGGGAAATCCTGTACGTGCAAGATCAAGCTGAAAATCGGGGATGAAGTATCCCAATCAGGCGCGCGATTCCAGCTCGTACCTGGGGAGGATCAAGTTTGGAGTGGAGAACGGTATCGTCACAAAGCCGAACAGCAAGCGCTCCGAAACAATCCTGATTGCTCCCGGACTCGAGAATGCAGAGTTCTCCAGAGCCAGGCAGGACGTTGTGCTCGGAAAATAATCAGGAGCTACGCAAGAAAGAGGCAGAGAGGTCTATGACAGTTGTGTCGGATCAATATATCTTTCACAAGAAAGACCAGACATCAAGCTTGCGGTGAAGGAGCTGCGCGCACGAGGATGTGACTGGAGCAAACTCAAGACGCTCGGAAGATAGGCACCGTTGATCTGGAAACATGTCAGGTGATGTGCGAATTGATCGTGTTGGGAACCGTCGTCGAAGCATCATCTCACACTCAGGACGGAGCGCCAGCCACGAGCTCAGGTGAAGCTGAGATTCGCAGGCGCTGTACATCAAGCAGCTTTGTGAGATTCTTTTTGGCATCAGACGCATGACACCTAGCAATTGGTGCGATAGTTCATCAGCGTTGCAGAGCTCCAAGAAATTTGGAATAGGGAAGATGCGTCGCATTGAAGTTGGACAATTGTTGATTCAAGAGCTTGTGAAAACCAAACAAGGCACTTTTGGCAAGGTTAACGCAAAGGACAACCCGGCGGGCATCATGTCTAAACAACCTGTGACAGGCGAAGAGGTCAAACAAGGTTGCAGTGTAATTTAATGCGATGTAATGTAGCGTAATGTAATGTGTTGTTTTGGCATATGAATGTTAAAGTCTGAAACTTCAAATATTTACTGATGTGTTTGTTACTTCATGTGATTTGTTTATTTAAATTTAGTTTATGACGATATTGTAGCCCATGAACCATTGTGGGCCACTTGTTCCACACCGTACCTGATTGAAATCTGTTAAACGGCTTCTGCCGTTTTCTGTCGGTTTATTTCGGGGGGCGGCGTCAGCAACCCATGCACGTCACGACGGAAAACGTGGGCTCTATGCCCTCCTTGCGCCCCTTTTTCTTCGACTGCGTGCGACGTGGGGCATGCACACGTCGTCAACGCAGGCCTATACAAAATATGAAATACAAAATGGGCATAAATTGAAAACAGCGTGCGGACTGAAGCGGCGTGTGGCATGAACTCGATGGTGGATACCACAAACAATGGTTTTTAGAGTGCGGTTCCTCAAACAAACTGATATCGAATTTGTCTGTTTGTGGCTGTCGAGTGGCGCCAGTTTGCGCCCGGCTCAGTCCTGTGAAGGAAAGACACTCGTGACATGCAGCGAGAATATTGTCTTGCTCTTCACGCTGGCTTCTCGATTCCCGCGAGATCCTTTCATATCTGGCCAAGCAAGCGAAGCGCCGGCCTACTTCAAAACGACACCCTTCTCCATCAGCGTTACCTTTGCGGGAACGACGCCACAGTCAATGCCTTGCTCACGGCAAATCCCTCCTCAAAGCCCCTTCCTGCTGCCTTTCCAACGCCCGTCCCAGTTGCAAACTCATCGAATGAGATCTCGCCATCGCCACCCAAGTCGACTTCGGAGACCATGTCCCGGATTGCCTTCCAAGCAACCACGCTCGCTCAATCTTTCATTTGAGCCGCCTCTTTAAAAAAAGCCCAGGGCCTATACACTGGAAGCACCCAACTTCGCGGAGGCTACACGGCTTGCTTTCCCCCTAAACATTCGGCTACGCGGGGATAAGTGACTATGCGGGGGGATACGCGGAGGCTACGCGAAAGTGCGTTGGCAAACGAAGTGGTAGTAGTAGAGTAGTAGTAGTAGTAGTAGTAGTAGTAGTAGTAGTAGTAGTAGTAGTAGTAGTAGTAGTAGTAGTAGTAGTAGTAGTAGTAGTAGTGGTAGTAGTAGTAGTAGTAGTACTGGTAGCGGTAGCGGTAGCGGTAGCGGTAGCGGTAGCAGTAGTAGCAGTAGTAGTAGTAGTAGTAGTAGTAGTAGTAGTACTGGTAGCAGTAGTACTAGTAGTAGTAGTAGTAGTAGTAGTACTAGTAGTAGTAGTAGTAGTAGTAGTAGTAGTAGTAGTACTGGTAGCAGTAGTAGTAGTAGTAGTAGTAGTAGTAGTAGTAGTAGTGGCAGTGGTAGTAGTGGTAGTAGTAGCAGCAATGATGGAAGGTGGGCGTGCGGCTTGAACACGCCTTGGAGGCCTGGGGCTGCGCTGAGTCTACGCGGAATGCGCGAGCTCAAGTCTGGCCAGGCCAAAGCACATCTAATTCACCCGCTTTGCAACATGCAAGGTTTCAACCATCGACAGCTCCCTTTGCCAGCGGCTACGCAAGGCTACGCGGCCCGAAGAGTAGGCTACGCAGCCACCATGCCGTAAAAACAAGATGCTCATTTGGTCTACGCCTGCCTCCCCATCAGCTTGCTCCTTCAAAATGGCACCAAGCTCTTGCTTGGTGATTTTCCCAGTGCCATCTTTGTCGAACACCCTGAAGGCTGACCAGAGCACCTCCTTTTGGAGGTACTGCTTCTGGCCTGGCGCAGTTGCACGACATGCGCACTGCATGTCGCATGTCTCAGACACCATGCCAGCTTGTCTCAAGGTGGCCGCGATGAACTCTGTGTAGTCAATTCTCCCAGAACCGTCAAGATTCTTCCTCGCAACAAACGGCCGTGACGCATGCGTATGAAAGGGCTCACCTGACGTGTGAGAGATTGTGGCACACATGTACGGTGTTGTAAGGCAATCAGAATATCAGGCAAGGCGAGCTGCATGATTTCAATGAGGTCGGGTGGAATCTCCAGAGCGGAATCGGCCATGCCCTTTTGGATCTCTTCGATGCTGAGTGTGCCATCCTAAGCTTGAGACGGAGATGCGCTTTGGATCGCTTGGTCTTGGTGAAATGTTTCCGAACATCTCAGTGACTCGACTGTTCATGTGTCCAACAAAGCCCGCCTTATTCTTATCCAGCACCAAGAAAGCGGATCGGAGTTGCTCGAGATCTTCATTCTTGAGCTGCTGCGCAATGAGTGTCAGCGCTACCTCGACGCAACTCGGCGTGAGCACCAATTTAGCACAAGTTCGCGATTCAAATTTAGCATTCGTTGGGAGCCTGAGACTCAATTTAGTTCGACTTGCAACAAATTTGGATGGAGACGCCCTGGCTCGCCTATCCCGAACAGATCCTGACCCCATTCCGGACCTTCTTCATGCGGGAGCCCTCGTTGAACTTCTTCAAGTTTCCGCACCTGAAGCTTGAAAAGAACGTGAAAGTCGTGACATGACCGAATGCTGAATCTTAAATCTTCGTTGAGGCGCAGGTCGTTGGGCGGCTTGCCCTTGGGAGCCTCGCGGCAAGCCATGGCGTCCGTCCGAATTTATGAAATGTTCGGTTCCAAGTACAAATTCCGTTGCAGTCCGGTTTCGGCTCCTCTGCGTTCTTGTCCAGCCACCGGTGCTCCAGCATCTTTGCCGCACTGGGCCCTCAGAAATGAACATTGAAGATTTAAAAGGGGAAGCACACACACACACACAAACAACAAATTCCCACCACGCCATTTCTCCCGGCCCACGATTCTGTCCCACGGTCTGGACTTTTGTGGTGCGCCTTCTTTGGTCGCAATACCAAACATAGCTTCATGTTTCAGGTGTTCACAGGTGGAGCTCTGTGCCCTGCCAGTGCGAGCCGGAGCCGTTGAAGCATGGGAGGAGGAATGGGGGGGAAGATGGAATAATGTGGAATAAGACGGAATTTTAGATGGAACAAGAGAACAAAAGCAAGGTCAGGCGGCGGTTGGTGGCGTTCAAGGTGAGCATCTGCGAGATGCACTCTTTGGCTTCGGGGGAGGTGCCGTCCCAGTCCTCAATTTTCAACATCATTGCGCAACACGCGTGCGCAACACGCAGGGCTCGTCTCGTCTCCTGCGAGGGAAAAGTGAAGGCGCCCTTCTTCACCTCGGGCCGACGGCTTGGTTATCGAGCTAAACTCCAAGGCCCCCCCATGCTCTCAAGAACTCCCAGCCCTGCGCCATTTGCAGGATATCGCCATCTGTCTCCTGCATAGATTTCGTGACGAATTCGCTTTTGAGATGCTTGCTGAACGAAGCGATATCGAGAGTGAAAGCGTGAACAAGCACAGCATGGGCTTGGGTCCCCAAAGAAGGGCGGATAGCCGCAAAGGAGGATGTAGCAAATCACTCCGCAACCCCAGACGTCGCATTTCTCATCCTCAAATCAGAAAAAATGAAAAATATCTTACTCGCAGGCGTGTGCCTTTTCCTCACTTAGGGCGGGACGTAGCGCTCCTGGAGAATTTCCGGTGCCACGTAGTAGGGCGTCACCTCAGCTTCGAGAAGCTTCGCGCCTCGTCGCCTCGTCGTCGCGTCGTCGTCGCGTCGTCTCGCTCGCCTTGGTCGGAATCTTCCTCATCGTCCTCCCGGAGCCCACCTTGTACTCCCTCGCCTGCACGTGTCGCGTCTGCCGGGTGCTCTGTCGGTGTTTCTCTTATTTGCTTGTCTTCTGTTATTTGCAAATTTTGACTCTCGTCTGTCTTGTGTTTTGATAGTGTCTGACACTGTATTATTTCATTTTAGTTGTTGGTTCTTCTATTCTTATCGCTTCTGATATTCTCATGTTATTATATGTTCTTCTGGTGTAGTGTTCTTCTTTTTACACGTTATTATTTTGTTATGTTATTGTTATCGCTTGCTCTTGTGTTATAAATAATAATAAAAACTTTCTTATTTCCATGTGTTGTCTTTCCGGTCTTTGCTTCTTACTCTCTTCTTGTCTTGTATGTTGATGTGTTTGCTTCATGTTCTGTTCTTTGTTTCTCTTGCTTCGGTTCTTCTTTTCTTCAGTCGTTGTCTTTTGCTTTTTATGTCTTCTCTTTCTTGATTTATCTTCTTGTATTCCGTTGCGTGGTTCCTTATTCATAGTTCATGGTTGATCGTTGTCTTGTTTGCTCATCGTATTATTATGTTTGTTTTCTTGTTTCCTTTCGTGCTCTTCTCTTCTTTCATTATATTGCTTAGTTTCTTCTATTCTTCTCTTTCAGATTTCTTCTTTCCTTCGGTTCTTTTCTTCTGTCTTGTTTTTTTCTTAGTTTCTGTTATGCTCTTCTGTCGACGCTTTCTTTTTTCTGCTCGTCTCTTCTTTTCATACTTCATGTTTTCTGGTTGTCGATGTTGCTCATATTATTTTTTGATTATTGCATTTCCTCTCATTGTCTTCTTTTCTTTCATTCTAGTATGTATGTTCTCCTATTCTTCGGGGGATGTGAAAAGTGTTGTTCTTGTCTTTCTGTTGTTGCTTTATTTCCTGTTCTTCTATTCTGCCCTACCCTGTTCTTCCTTCTTCATACTTCATGTTTTCAGATTGCCTTTTTGCTTGTATAGATTATTTGCTTCGCTTCTTTGCGTTCATGTTCGTCTCTTCTTTTCATTCTATTGTATTTTTCCTCTGTTCCTTGATTTATTATCGTTAATGTTCATCTCTGTTTTTTTTGCTTTGTTATCTTAGTTTCTTCGTTTCTTCCTTTCCTCTCCTTTCCTCTTCTTTCCTCTCCTTTGTTCCACTCCTTTCCTCATCTTTCCCCTCCTTTCCTTCTTTCCCTCCTTTTCTCTTTCTCTCACAGCTGTCACGCCGAGAGGCGCAGCCGAAGTCAATGACCTTGACAGGGGCCTCAATTGCAACAATCAGAAAATGGCACCCATTTTCAAGACACGTCAACTAAGCTCGCAAATCTTGATGCGCCGTGCCTTTTCTTACGCCTTCGCTTTTGGTCGAGGGGCGTCAGGGTCCCGACTCTGCAACAGGAGGTTCTCGGGCTTGACGTCGCGGTGTACAAAGTCGTTCTTGTGCAAATAGCCTAACAGAACGGACCGGAACGGACCGGAACGGGCCGGAAGGCCACGGCAGCCAACACATATCTCAGGCAGCGGCTCATTGCCCCGAGGATCTGCTGCATATACGTCGCCTTGCGGCTCACATAGCCAGAAGAGAAACACTGCAGATGCAACGAATTTTCACATGAACAAACCATCCATAGAAACCTCGATACAAACATCGCCATGAGTCGAGTTGGAGAGAAGGCCCGACTGGTGCCAAAATCCAAGCGGCTGCTCCACGCTCATCGAAGGCATTTCCTGCCGGGGGCGCGAAATGCCAGCGCCTCTCATGTGAGAACTTGTAACATGATGTAACATGTGCCCTCAAGTTGCAGGCATTTGCCAATGCGCGCCTCCGTTCTTCTCAGCTTCTTCCATGATGCGATCAAAGAGCTGCCCGCCATTGCAAAGCTCCATCACCAAGTACACCTGGCGACATGGCCTGGACGTGTTGCAACTTGGTCACAAGTCCGTGCCTTCATGGCATCGACAAACACCTGGCGAAGATCATGGTGACAGGAAGCACTCTTACACAGCTTGAGCCTCGTATAGCTGCACAATGTTGGGATGGTCTAGTGCGCACCTGAAAGAGCAACGAATGGTTGCCAAATGGCCACTCGTGCAAAGAATTCCCACATTGACTACACCCCTTGTCCCAAAACCTTGGGATAAGCTCACCCGACTCACACGTTTGGTCAAACTGTGTCTTGTTCCTTCCTTCTGCTCCCTGTGCTCAGTGTGCTATGAATATCCGTCCTGACATTTTCACCCCCTCAGCTAAGAGACTGGATGTCAACTTCCGTCTCGAAGCGTTCTCCATCGGTGATCTTTCTGCGGTCGATGGCCTGCGGCATCTCAATGGAAACTGTGATATTTTTTTTGCTTGCCCCGTGCGCAACGCGTGCAAAAGCACCGCCCTTGCGTGTGAATGTATTTGTGGCCGTCTGCCACCGTCCTTGATGGCGCGCAATGCATTCGTGGACTTGTGCACGGCTTTCCACACGGAGCCTCAGCCACGCGGACGCGTCCGAGCCGACGAGCCTGATGCCTCTGGGGCCTCTGGCCGTAGGCGCCCTCTCCGAGCTTCGTGGTCTCCACCTGGTAGAAGTCATCCAGCTTGCCGTTGTTCAAGGAGGAGAACGCGTGCAAATGCGCACCTTGATTGACACAGGCGCACGCGCTGGCACAATCTTTGCCATTCTCCCCCAGTCCAGGACAAGAAACCATCGGTAGGCATCTTAATCGGCACAGATGATCCAGAACCCATGCTGAATTTGCTACAGCAGCGCGCACGCACGAAGAGACTATGCGTCCCTCTGGAAGACGAACCAATTCCGCTTGAACCAACGCAAGCTGCGGATGTCTAAATGCCTTGGGCCGCGCTGAGTTCGGACTCTGCTCTGCGGCCACCCAACACTAACCATTTGCTCACCGGTGCAGCATCCGCATCCAGCGCCTCAGGTGGCGGCTCCGCCGCAGGCAGGGGCGGCGGCAGCGGGAGCAGCGTCTTATGTTCCTTCTCGTCGTCGCTGTCTTGGGACAGCTCGCGGCCGCCGGTTTCATCCCGACCCTCGCAGTCGCCCTCCTGATCGGAGGCGCCCCAATCCGGTCCCTCTGGTTCCTGGCCCAAGTCGATGCTTCGAGGTGTTGCCTAATGTCAGCGCTGGTCTGTGGGCAAGCCTCCCCTTGAGTGGAAGACCACGGCTGCGCGGGTGCACTTGGGCGGGTGTTCTTGTCATTTGGCAGGCAGGTATGCAGCACCGCGTGGGTGCGCTCGAACGGGTGCTCGTATCATTTGGCAAGGAGGTCTGCAGTGCTGCAAGGGTGCAGTTGAGAGAGTGGTCACTAAACGTCGCGGCACCCGAGTTTCTGAATGATGGCACCCAAGTGACTCAAGCTCGGGCAAAGCAATTCTCCAATTCGGAGTAACCAGGCTTCTGAATCGAAGTTTCTGCATCAGGGGCCAAAGTTTCTGAATCGAAGTTTCTGAATCGAGAACCCAAGCTTCTGAATCGAAGTTTCTGAATCGGGGACCCAAGCTTCTGAATCGAAGTTCTGAATCGGAGACCGAAGCTTCTGACTCGAAGTTTCTAAATCGGGGACCCAAGCTTCTCAATCGAAGTTTCTGAATCGGGGACCCAAGTTTCTCAATTGAAGTTCTGAATCGAGAACCCAAGTTTCTGACTCGAAGTTTCTGAATCGGGGACCCAAGCTTCTGAATCGAAGTTTCTGAATCGGGGGCCGAAGTTTCTGACTCGAAGTTTCTGAATCGGGGACCCAAGCTTCTGAATCGAAGTTCTGAATCGGAGGCCGAAGCTTCTGAATCGATTTTTCTGAATCGAGAACCCAAGTTTCTGACTCGAAGTTTGGGAATCGGGGACCAAAGTTTCTGAATCGAAGTTCTGAATCGGAGACCCAAGCTTCTGAATCAAAGTTTCTGAATCGAGGACCCAAGTTTCTGGAGACCCAAGCTTCTGAATCGAAGTTTCTGAATCGAGGACCCAAGTTTCTGAATCGAAGTTGCTGAAAATCGAAGTGTCTGAATCGGGGACCAAAGTTTCTAAATCGAAGTTTCTGAATCGGGTCTGCATCGAAGCTTCTGAATTTGGGCCCCAAGCTTCTGAATCGAAGTTTCTGAATCGGGACTGCAAGGTTCTGAATCGAAGCTTCTGAATCCGGGCAAGTGAATCAAAGTTGCTGAATCGGGGCAAGCTTCTGAATCGGTCATTGTTCCAAGCGTGTGTGTATGTTTTGAAAGGGTGAAACTGCCTCACCGGTCATCTGCCTCACCGGTCATGCACTGAAGTGTCTGGAGAGGTGAGACTCGAGACTGCTGCTGAGACTGCTGCTCATGCTGCAAACGTCTGAATTGCTCTCAGGAGTCTGAGAGCAAAGAAAGTACACAGTATGTGCATCAATTGGCATCCGCGCGGTGCCTGATGCACCGATTTCGCTTGCATGAGCTGATGTTTACTATACGTCCACGAATTCAATATCAAGATTGAAGGAGGCAGCTTAAGTAGGCTGCCCACTCCACCAGTCCTTCGCCTCAAAGTCTCAAGTGGTCGTCAGACCATTCTGCAGCGAGCCGATGACCTACGCATGACAGTCACCTGCTGTTGCCGTTGCCGGGCCTACTCATGAAAGCTGGGCCTGTTGCTGTTCGCGAGCAACGTGCGCTTGTTGCCGCTTCAAGTCTGAAAACCTGAACATGGTGCTTGAACTTCGTGGTGGCGTGCACACTGAATGCACTGGGTCAAAAGCGATCTAGGCCCCGGCCCTTTCTGCAATTTCTTAAGCTTCGACCCGTTGTCTTCCATGGTCTTTGACACGCCTGAGGCTAGAAAGTCCAATTTATGCTGATCAAAGAAGTGAAGCTGCCTTCCAGGCGTTGCTTGGCTTTGGTTACCAGAGCTTGGATCTGCGGAATCAGTGCAGATGGCTCATTGGAGCTTCAGTCATTCAGTCATTCAGTGAAAGCTGTCCTCGTCGTCAATATCTTTGGCCTGAACACTCAAAGTGAGATAGGTTTACACCTGAACGAGCGCCGCACCGAGCTCCGGGTTGTAGTTGCCTGCGGCGCCCCTCCCTCAACTCTCCCAAGCTGAGTGTTTGCTTATATACCTCGACTCATAGCGTCAGCATCGTGGGTATCAGATCTGCAGAGACCCGTTGACCTTGAAGCATGTGCCTCTACTGGATCAGAGCCCATCTTCCCCTTGGCTAGGTGATGACAATGCAAAAAACAAAGGCAACATGTATTCATCATAAGGTCAGTAAGACTACAGCGTCATCCTCCTCAGCCATCTCTCACCTATATCACTGTAGCCGGGCGCTGTTCACCCGGTCTCTCCATTGCTTCAAGCGGCTGCAGCATCCATGCCACTCTGCCTAGGTGCACACCTCGAAACCACGTCACACAGCTGGCGTTTTCTGTTTGAGCGATAACGCTTTCCACTCACACTTTAACAATGCAAGACCTCAATAGGAGGTTGCGGTAGTATACATATCGCGATGCAGTGCCATGCCAACATGCCACAGGCTTGCCACCTTCCAGCGAAGGAGGCACTGCTCAAAGGATTCCGCATGGATGCCACAGCTGTCAGGCAAAAAAAAACACAGCTGCTACTTGGTCAATAAAGCTGACTGCTGTCCTCCTAAACTCGTGCCATCGAATTGCGAATTCATCGAGCTGCCCTCTTGCAGACCAATACGTTCTAATTAACACAATGCACGTTCCCACAGGGCAGCACTTGCCAGGAGCAACATTCTGCAACACTGGCTTGGTAAGCGTGTCGTTGACCAATGCAATTGAATTCTGCTTCGCACCTTCAACTGGTCACTGCCCTCGGTTCCCAAACCTGCGACACAGCTATGATCAAGCCGGGCTTCAACCAAGCGGCCTTTTGGGGGCTTCAATTCGGGATCCTGTCCATTGTTTGACCTAGCATGCGAAGAAATGCAAAGGGCCCTCTTTCAGAATGCGCGGTAACGGAGGGGGACAAGTGACTTGAGTTTTCATGTGGCTGCGGTGTGCGGTTTGGACAGCCTTGAGCAATGGGGTGGAATAGGTTGGTTTACGGTGGGTTTAGGCTTGGTAGGGTTGGTGCAGGGGGGTGTTCTAGCTGGTTTAGGGCTTCGGATGGGTTTCGGGTTGGTTTTGGGTTCGCGTCGGTCTTGCTTGGGGTTTGTTTCACGTGGGCTTTGGGGCTGGTTTATGGGGTTTGCTGTAGGGTCTTTAGGGTGGATTTAGGGTATGTCTAGGATCTGTTTTCGATGGATGGGTGAAGTTGTGGTTTATGTTGGGGGTTAGGGTTGGTTTAGGGGGTGGGTTCAGGTTTTGGGATGGGGTTCTGGTGTTGGTTTGGGGTTGGCTTAGGGTGGAGAAGAAACTGCTTTATTGCTGGTTTCTGGTGGTTTTGGGGTTTGGGAGAGGTTTATCACAAGTTCAAGGTTTCTTTAGGGTGGGTTTGGTGTGGGAGTGTGGGGCGGGCTTGGGTCTGGTCGAAGCTTGGCTTAGGTTTCGGGGTGGTTTTTGGGTGGGTTTAGTGGTGGTTGGGGTTGGGTTAGCGTCGAAAAGCCACGACAAGTCACGAACACCGCAAGCCAAAAGGTGGGTTTTGGGTGGGCAGTGGATTTCTTTTCGTTCGGGGTTGGCAGGGGGCCCAGCTCCCCAAAGAACACACATAAAGGGCACCAATGGAGAAACTGTGCGATTACAAACGGTACTCTGGCAGGGGTGCTACTGGTGCTGCTGGGGGTATTGCTGGTGGTGCTATGGATGTGGAAAGCTTGTGCTCTTGCTTGCGCGCTCGTGCAGGCAGTCTCGCAACAGAAGCTGCATCTGAGCAGGTGTTCTTGATGCGGCCCAATACACTAGCAGCCATGCCTACGCGGAGCCTCAGCATGTGTGCAAAACCGGGGAAGGGTTCCTATGCGAGCCTAGGCGGCAACAAGCACCTACGCGGAGTGCCTATGCAGACTTTTCTCGGGCGCTACCCTCAAGTCATAACAACAAGTTTGTGTGAGGTCAATCACGCCTGCGCGAACCTGCCTACGCTGGATTTCTGGAGTAATCTACGTAAACTGTATACGCGAATTAAGCGAATACATCGCCAAAAAAACACTCTGCTCATCTGCAAATGCAGTGACTTTTGGGCACGTGCACACTGAGACATGGCATTGGCCAAAACTCGTACCCTAATGTTCTGAAGACTAAAGCATCTTCAAACTGTGCTCTCAGCGTTCAGCCCAAGGGTTGTTCCTATTGCACCCTGCGGAATCACCCTAGTCTGGCCTATTTCCAGATAGCACCGGTGATGTTGGTTGATGTTGGATTATGTTGGGTAATCTCACTAGGGTGTAATATCAGCATGTAAAGGGTCGGCATTAGCACGAGGCATCTGCACTTGCACAAGCAAAGCTCGGCGAAGCAAGTGCGGCCACAGGCCAGGTGCACCCGCATGGCATGCTTTGCTGCATGGGGTCGAGCCGGTCCATGCCGGGCATGTCGAAGTCCACCTGTCCATGGTGCCCGGTGGTACGAAACAAGCTCAAAAGTTGACCCGTGCAGTCGGCTGAGCCATGCCTGCCGGTGCCCCGAACCCATGAGGCCGACCTGCAAAGCAGGTGCCTGCTTACTGGAAGCGCGAGGATGCAAGTAATTGTGCATCTGAAATGTGGGCGTCCTTGTCTGCCAACAAGTTGTGCAATTTAGATTCGCTGAGGTCCAAGCATCAGGCTGTTGCATTCCATGCATTCCTGGCCTTGGCTGTCACACTCGCAGGCCTGGAGCCTGCCCTGCTCTCTCTAGCAATGCAACGGCTTTGAGTAAGAGTCTGAGTCGAAAGCATGCCTCCCACTCCTCTGTCGCTTTCGATCAAGGCTCTGCTCATGCTCTCTAGTTGCCTGGCAAAATAGCCGACAAGCGCATGAAGAGTCATGGACCGGAAAGCCTCGTAATGCTTCGCTGCAATTTCAGGTGCTTCTGTTCCAGCTCCTGGGGCTCTGAAAGCGTCCAATGCTATCAATGCTCTCAGAGAAGATTGCCGCCCACTGCACACCCCGCCTCGCGCAAGTCTGACTCCAGCGACTTCATCCTGGTTTCAAGCCGTTCAGTGGTTCCAGATGCCTGGCTCGGAGAAAGGTCAAGCCAATTGCTTGAGTGGGCCAACGAACTCTTTGGAACATCCAACAATTTCCACGGCGACTCTCATCGCATGAGTTTGCTAATCCGGATTCAAATGATGCCAATCGCCTTCATGCGATCAACAGCCACAGCATCATTGAGCTTTGACACCTTGGCAAAACGGAAAGAGCGAACCTGCGGATGCTAGTCGATCGTGTTTGTCGGGGCTGTGTGTCTGGATATCTTCCGGAATCCTGCTCAAGCCAAAGGCTTTCGGGGCCTTCTGCTGGCTGATGTCTTCTTTCTGCTTGTTGCTGCAAAACATCCGCACTTCGTCTAGTTGCCTCGGCAGGTGTTTCATCCCAGGCATGAGCCTGCATGTTGCTCACTTTCGGCTGATTCAGCTGTTTCTTTGGCAGCTCGTCTTTGGTTTTAGCACTGACTGCCTGACTGACTGACTAAACCAATCTGAACTACACTACCCCAAACTTGATCTAACAAGTGACTAACTCACTCACTCACATACTTGCTCACTAGATACGCAACTAATAAACTGGCCGAATACCCAGCCAGCCAGCCGACCGACCTACCAACCAACGAACTAACTACCAGCAAGAACAACAAGGCACTGCGACAGAGCTAACTGAGCAGAGCATCTCAGGCGCTAGGTGGCACTTGCGCCTAATTAGCCTAATTCCCAGCGCAAACTCAGTGGAGCACATACAGAAGTGCCGAAGCCTACTACGACGCCTGACCAGCCGTCGCCACTTGCTCATGTTGCAAAGAGTTGTTACACCTTGTGCCTGCACACTACACTGGCTACAAAGGAAGGCAGTCACGCCGGCAGGCACGCATGCACGCTCGTGCGCTTCACACCCGCCCGCAGCAGTGCGCACTTGCAGCATTCTCCAGAGGCTGGCGAGGCTGGATGTGTGTTAGCTGAAAGCGTGCCTGGCAAAACGGATCAAAAGAGCTTCAAACTCAAGTGCTAGTTGCACTGGCCAGGTCTCGGACATCCATGGCAGTGCCGGATATGCGCTCCTCAGAACACTCCCCCATGGCTGCAAAGGACTTCGTTAGCTTACCGATTTGCTGGGGCAAATTCAGGTCATCTGTCCTGAAGATGGCCTGTCGTTTTCAGCATGGTGTCCTCCACCTGCGCATGGTGTTTTCAGCGTCTGTGAATGCGGCGCGGCCCGACCTTCGGCACCACTCCCAGGACAGTGTCTAGGTCTTGGGCCATGAGCTCTGCCTGAGAGCTCTACCGGGCTGGGCGAGTGAATCGAAGCATGGCTTGAAGGCTTTAAGATGCTTTAAGATGCTTTAAGGCTCTAAGGCTTTGGTGACTTTTGCAGATGGAGTTCACGTGTTGCAAATCGGGGCTCCGGCTCGCTTCTCAAGGTCTGCAAAACTCGTCTGATACCGCCTGACATCACGGGGAATTTTGAGTGCCCCACTCACGTCTTGCCCGACATTTGTATTTACGAAAAAGTGCATGGCGGTTGCGTCATTTTGACCGAGTACGCGACTGGAGCTCCATTTGGAGCTGCTGGATCTGGCTTGACTGGCCCTTCTCTTGCTGCTGCTGCAAGTCCTCACCAGGCAAGCGCCAACTTTGCACGTGCTCGCAAGACTGGATCTCCTGAACTCGTGTCGTTAAGGAGCTAATCTCCTCCCAGCTTTCGAGTGGTTGGTAGGTTCTGCAAGCTGCAAACTGCGCAGTTCAGTTTGCATCGGCCTCCTTCGTGGCTTGTGAGTGCTTTGCAAGCCTCAGTACATGCACACCAACTCAGCACACCAACTCAGCACTTGGCAACTCGAGCCAAATGCATTCAACATTTGCAGCCGATGCGACGAGGCTGGCCGCTTTGTTCGACGAAGAAGGGTCCAACCCCAAATGTTTAAGCCACGTGAGCTCAAATGTTTAAATGGGAAGAGATGGAAGGAGGGAGTCCAAAGTCAGAGAGCTGATGGCGACAATCTGCACTGACGGAGTGGGAAACTACAAAGGGCAAAATGCTTCCGCCTTGTAGCGTGCACCTTGCAAACGCGTTGGCAAGGCTGTCGGTGTCAGCTGCTTGACATTTCAAATGCAGGGGAGGACAAAGTCAGGCTGATAAACTTGATTCGCTGTACTGAGCGAGGACGTCAAAACCGGTGCCAAATAGCGAGGGCATCAGCGCGGCAAGAGCTTGGTGCAAGTAGGGCAAGGCCAAGCTGGGACCTGTGTGAGTGTCACACCTCGCTTGTCTTTCAAAAATCAAGTCCGAAGCCGTTCCTGCTCAAAGCAGTAAGGTGAGTTCCCTGGTGACGCACGCCCACATCGGAATGTGCATGCGGCACGATGGTTCTGGTGCCCCAACTTCTGGTGCGATGGCGTGCGTGGGCACAGGTTGCCGAGTTGACTGAACTCCGGGTTTCGGGGCTTCGAGACTATTCAGGATAGTGCGACTGTGGAACACAAAGGAGACGTATCAAGCCCGGGCAGGCCTGACTTAGCAACTGGGGGCAACAGCAAGTTTACACTCAAGTGTCACATGACCAGCTAGATAACAAGGCCCACAGGTCTCTCCTTGATATGCCTCAACGTGCGAGCGCTCACAGGCACTCACACACACACACAGGGATACACAGTTTAGGGGTTGAAATTGAGCCGCTGGAATTCTTAGCACTTCCCTGATGGTCAAAACAGGGACCGAAAAGGCCGCTAAGAAATTGAGCCCCTGAGTTTCTTAGCTTAAGAAAAATCCAGCCCCCCTGGCTCCAGAGGGGTAAAACCAGCCCTTTTAAGGATGAAATGGACGCTACAAAAAGCAGCCCCCCCTGGGCCTCGACCAACTGATTTCTTATATGCGCTCGCACTGTAGTAGGTCTGGATAAAAACATCAATTGCGGATAGCAGTGACGTACCGGTCCGACTCTGGGGTGCCCAATGACCCGTCTTGTATCAACATCTGGAAATGCTCTTGCGACTTGCGACATCAACTGCCATCCAGGTAGCTCCTGCTGGAGCTGAGCAGTGAACTGCTCTTTGAGCTGCTGCTGCAGCTGCTGCGTCAACTGCTGGGTGATTTGCTGAGTGAGTTGTTGCGTGAGTTGCTGTGGCAGGTGTTGCATTTGTTGGGACTGTTGCGCTAGCTGATGACTTTGCTGCAGCTGTTGCTGGATCTGCGTGGAGATCTGTTGCAGCTGCGCTGACTGCTGCTGCAGTTGCCCAGATTGCTGCTGCAGCTGGCGCGACTGCTGCTGGCACTGCTGGGTTTGCTGCGTCAGTTGCTGCGAATGCTGCTGGATCTGCTGTGAATGCTGCTGGATTTGCTGCGAATGTTGCTGCAACTGCTGGGTTTGCTGCTGACACTGCTGCAGCTGCTGCTGCAGTCTGAGCCTGGGTTGGCAAGCTGGTGCAAGTTGATACAGGCATAAGTCTCTGAGATGGCAGGAAAGCATGATAAGCTTGTGGCTGCTGATCATGGGAGTCTCGAACCAGGGCTTTTTCGAATCCAGTCTGTCGCTCATCTAACCTGCAAGGCGACATGAAGCACACCTCGCATTCCCAAAGACTCGCTTGCTGATGCGTTTGAGGGATGGCAAACAGAATGGAAAGGCTGCATGGCCTCCAAAGCTCACCCCGCACCGTGCCACTCAGAAAGTCGATCTCTTCCAAGATGGTATCCGTCAAGGTGTTGAATGCCTGAGCCGATTTTTGGCACTGCTTGGCCGCCAAGGCCTACTGAAACGCATACAGCGCAAAGAATAAGCGGAAGACCTCCTTGAGAGTTCTAAGCTGCGACTGAAGAAATTCAAAGGAACGTCGCCTGGCAGCTGCAGTGGTATGAACAAAACGCGGATGAGACTGCTTCAAACGAGCCAAGCCGTCGAAGACTGTTCAAACTCGATGTTAGTCACGCTCTCCAGCGCTAGTTCGTCGTGAAGCTGATTCATGCGGCTGGTCATCCTGCGTGTCAAATGCAGCACGCATCTAGCCATGTTTAGCGAGGAACTACTCCTTCTCATGACGCTGCTATATGCAGGTTTCTTTTCCTTGGTCAAGCTGAGGGACCTCAGAGTGCTTAGTCAAGAAAGCATGCCAGCGACTTGTAAATTGATGCACAAGGTCGCCACGCTGCCATGGCGCCTAGTGTTTCATGTCCGAATGCAGTTGCAACAGCATGCAACAGCATGGAACAGCCCTGCACAATTCCAAGAGCGTTGTGACTCACTGGCCTTGCTTTGGATCGCCGGGCACAGCCTAAAGCGAGGCTCAAAGCAGGACCTCCCCTCCCGGACAAGAAAGAGTAGCGTGGGGCCTGTAAAGCTTCGCGCCTCCCTCGCCCAAACGCCCACGCTGAGCCAGGGCCGAGCACAAGCAGTTCACATGATGCTTCAAAGACGTTTCAATCACCTTGCAAGATCCCTGTCAGATCCCTGCAGGCTCTTTCCAATCTCGTTGCAAGCCCCTTTGCGAGCCGTAGACGTGCTGTGTCTTGGAGCCAAAGAACCATTGATTGTCATGCAGTTCCCTGTTAATTCCTCAATGGTGACACCAATCATTACTAATCAAATTCACGCCCTCCTCAATTCAGACACCGAGGGCAGCGTCAGGAGTGAAGCGCAAAAAATTAAATTCAGGCCCGTGAGCCGTGCTGTGTGCAGCTTCTACAGCGGCAATGCTTCGGCGCAAGCGTCCTGCTGCAGTTCGAGTCGTGTGCTGACCCTCAGTGACTCCGAACTGCCCAGGACAAGCTTCGGATGAGAAGCTGCCGGATCCAAAGCCAGATTGGAAGGATGGTACATGACACCTTGCAACATGTGAGGGGCCAACGCTGCCAACTCCACCAGGTGCACTGCATGAGCTTGCGGGATATGAGGTAGCTGAGGTAGGCATGAAGCCAGGCACAGCTTCTCCGAGGCTTGATCTGCACCTGTCTGAGTTCGGTTGGCTTGATCTTGCCCCAACTTCAGAGGGCATGGATGCTGAGAGCGTCTGGATGGTCTGGACAGGCGGTGCCTCGTACTGCCTTGCTCTGGCCAACGCCAAAGTGGCTTCATGCCCGCCCAGAGCCATCCTCTGGCGCTTAAGATCCTTGCCATGAGTTTTTCCCTCATCTGTGTGCTTGCGGCAGTTCGCCTGCACAAACGGACTCGCGGATGCAAGTGGGGACTCAAGACGGGCATCGCCAATGACTTGCAGCTCATCAAAGCCAACCAGGTCCTCATGGATCAAGCGCGCCACTATGCCTCTGCAACCTTGCAAGCCCACGACAAGGCCCGCTACTGGATGGTGCGTTGGAAAGCGTCGATGCAGGAGAAGCTGGCCACTGGGCGTGCCATACGCAAGGCAATGAACAAAGCCTGTGCCGAGCTGTGGTCCCTGCCCACTTGCAAACTCCATCTGTTTCGAGACAAGGCAAATCGAGATCTGCTCGTTGCTGGGCTGCAACCTGAAGTTGAGGCGTGGTACACCCCCAACTTTGCCCTGCAGGACGTTGCCAAATGGTGGCCGCCGCCCAAGAACATGTTCGATCTTTCGAGGGTCTCCTGCCAAAAGCCCATCTAGGGTCCCGAAGCCATGTTGGTGGAGCGCAGCTGCCCCGACATCACCTATGTTTGAAAGTTGTCTCACCGGCATCGAAGAAGTCTCCCAGACCTGCTTGCGAATGCCTTGGCTCAGGATCTTGAGAGACAAATGTGGAATGGGCAATGGCGCAGAACCGCTGAGTGCGCTGCAGTTTCTCATCAACAAGCAAGCGGCAACCGCTGCTCCTGCTCAGTGCAAGGACAAAAGCTAAAAATGCATATATCACACTAGTATAAGTTACAGTATAAGCGTATGCGTACAATATATATATATATATACGTTTGAACCCCCATCTGTTGGCGCAAACGCTTGCGCTCATTTTGCCATCCGCTCACGCAAGTGTGGGAAAGGGTTGTGCCAGCAGCAGGAATTGCTGCTGGCACATCACACCATACAAGTCTGCCAAAATGCTGAAAGCTCCGAGTGGCTGACTCCATTGCAGACATAGGCGGCCAGATAAGATCTGCCAGCAAGGCAGAATTGCCACAAAGGGTTCCGGCGCAACAAAAGCGCTACAAATGCTCAAGCAGGGTAGCAAGTTGAAGAAGTCGAGACCTCACATTGCCAGGCAAGGATCGAAGCGCGGTCATAGCTGCAACTTCCTGCACATAACTCACAAGAGTTTGCTGATTCCGCAGGCGCATCATCCAAAGGATATCGTTGATAGGCCTACCGGCACGGCAAGCACACAGCTCCAGCTCTTAAGCATCCTGGTGTCAACCGGCTCTGACTAGGAATCTCCAACGCTTTCAGAAGAGCATCCCATCGCTTACGATATACGCCAAGGGGAAAACGGATACACATGGGCATTCTCGTTAGCACCCAGGTAACTGCGACGCAGCAACTTCACAGCGGTTGGGTCAGTGATCTTCATGTGTTGTATGCGATCTGGTTGACGACCCAAAGAATTGAATTTGTGGAGCTGCAAGAACACGAAACCCTCTTTTTTTTCAAGGACATCTCGGAAAAACCGCAAATCTTTTCTTAAGCGCTTCAGAGTCTCACCAATGCGTCCAGCTCCGTAGAAGGCAAGGACCGTGGCGCCACACCAAGAATACCATTAGAGCTGCCAAGCCAACACAACCATCGCCCTGACAACGCCTGGTGGCCTATGCTCGACCGGTTCACTGAGCTCCCATTTTGCTACAAGCTGCCAGCAAGGGGCAATGATAATCCTGGCGGCCGGCTTCCAATTCTGCACAGCAATCACCAAGTGACGGTAGTTGCCAAGAGGAAAACCAGCTTTGAAGCAAATATACCCATAAACCTTCAGCGCTTAAACCAGGAACAAGGTCGAACAGCATGTGGATGTCGATGGACTCGACGCATTGCTTGCACCAGCCCTTGAAACCTTCCAGGAGACGAGCTTCCAGCAACTCAGTGGCAGGGTCCTGAGTTGAACATCGTCCAATCCAGCAGCTCGGAAGCCCTCTTAACACGTGGTGCGAGGCTTCTCCGATACGGATTGAAGCAGACTTACAGCAGCCTGCTATGTCCAGCTTACGAGCACCAAGCCATTCGCAGTTGAAGCAAACTAACCTCAGCAAGGAGCTCAAAAACACCCCTAGGATACGGCTCACCAACAGCTGTCCAGCACTTCCCATGATCTTCGAACGTCCTCGAAGCACCTGGTGAGGTCGCGCGCCGCAATTGCACATGAGCCGCAAACCACGCAAAGTCGGCAAAGAGGTACCAAACCTTGTATTTTTTTGCCAGCGAGCGCCGGACCTGCAAAAAAACACACGACATGCCCATTGTGAAGCAGGGTCAGAAAACCAGCTGCGGTCCGGATATTATTCAATCCAGTAGAAACAAAAGCCACTGCATGGCTGTTACCTTGTCTCACTCTGTCTCTCATCTTTCCCTTCAGCGTGGGAAGCCCAGAAGGAAGCTGTTTGCTCCTTACTGCAGGGGTCACCGCCGTGGAGAAGGAAGAGCAAGTTGGGGCGGCGCCAAAAAACACAGCCCCAAAAGGCGCTTCAGCTTCCTCCTAATAGATTCTCAGACTGGCTTCTCTTTATCTCGAAGGTCAGCACCCAAGACGCACCGTGCTTGACACACTGCCTTGCGTAGCCATATCGTCCACTGAAGAGATCGAGTATGCCAGCTTCGCAAAGCACAGAACTACTACCTTTTGGAAACACAAACTGCGCATCATCAAAGGTTTGCAGAATGGGAAATAGCCTCCTCACAAGGGAGAAACTTCGAATTCAACGGGGCAGCATCTACACGACTCGCAAAGCCATCTCTGACACCAGCAACTCCACACATCACACGGGCTTTCGCCCAACTCTCATCTCGCAAGCGCCGGGAAGGACGCATGTCAACAGCGCTAGACCTGGGCAACTCCCGAAGGTCGAAGTCAGGCTCGACAACGCCTCGTTCAGCTGAAGCAATCCAAGCATCGAAGGCTGCAAATTCACCTCGCACAACCTCGTCAATCCAAGGTGGCCATGCCAAGTCAGGAGGAGTTCAGAGCAGAGGCCGAAGCTCGACCCTTGACAGTGGCACCCAGACAAACTTGACTGTCCATGCCAAAAGGCACGCGCTTATGCCTGAACTTCGAAGCAGCCCGGTGTTCAGGCAGCAGATGAGCTTCCATCCCGCCAATGTTGATACGCTTCCGCTTCCAAATCGGCCGTCGCCAGTCTTCGTGAAGGAAAGGCTCGGGCAGCAAGCTCCTACAAAGGGTGGGTTCGAATGGGCTGCTCAACTTCCTCAGCCGCATCCAGCACCCCCTGACTACGCATTCAAGCCTTGTCTGCAGGAAGAAGCTTGCTCCAAAACCCTTTCTTCAGCGAACGCCTGCGCAGTTCAACGGCAAACTTCGGGGAAGCATCGGCACCTACTCCAGCAGTAAAGTCCAGCGACGAGTCAGTGGCGTAAAGGCGATCCGCAAAGCCAGCGCGAAGATTAGTGCAAGCTAAAGGGCCCAACAGGCAGAGGCCCCACAGTTCGGAAAGAAGCTCCGAAGACAGCCGGATCACTGCATCCTTGGACTTCACGGAAAGTGGTTCGAAAATGACATCCATCACACAAAGCAACCTCCTTCGCGTGGACAACCAGCGAAACCCAGCTTCCTGCTAAAGCCTCCAGAAGCGATACCGTGCACAGGCCCAACCGAGCAACTCGAACGGTGATTGCAATAATCGGCCACAACCGCAACGATGAAGCCTCCACAATTTGAACCCGTGGACCTGGAGCCGAAGCCGTCAAGGCGGCCAGAGATCCCGTAATCTCTGCCAGGGAGCCTTCCAAACGCGGCACACGCAACGATAGATCCTGCGATCCACTTGCGCGCTCCTCCACAGGAACGCCTTCGCCGGCGGTCTGAAATGCAAAGTGCTCCTGAGCTATTTCGACCCATCCACTTCGAGAATCACCGAAGCCCGCAGCGACTTGTCGAACAACACCTGTGGAGAGAGGGATGAGCTCAGATATCTGATCCAAACTCTCGTATAAATCTCTTCCTCCGCCTTGCTCCTGTCCAACATGGGCGCTACCGCCACCTCGACCAAAGCAGCTTTGCTCAGAGACCCTGTCAGCAAGATCCTCTGATTCTTCAAACGACGCCATGCTGAAAAAGGAACAGCAGCAAGCACCTTCGTCTCCACCTGCGCAGTGAAGATGACCTCAACACGCTCTGGAACACCGTAGTCAGCAGGGATCACACCAAAGGGATATCCGATCTGCACGTCGTCAAGAGTGTCACCCGTCACCACAAAGTGGATCTATAAAATCCTCACCGTCAGCCGCTTCCTCCACTCCTCCACCTCAGCCATCACCGCACCAGCCCGTCCCAATCAAGGGACCACGAAGATGGAATCACCACAATCTGACCCTCTCTTGGTGCCCGCTTGCCAGCCCAAACTTTGAGAAACTTTGTGACGGGGGAATACACTTGACCCTCAAAGTCCCTCACCACCACCCAATACTTTGATTGTTGTTTGACCAAATCAAGAGCCACGGCACTCTCCGTCCAAGCAGCGCCTCAACAATCGGCCCACTTCAACTGCACCCGCTCACGACCACTGAGTCCAGAATCCGAACAGGAAGTGCGGTATGGAGAGGCCACACCAACGGAAGAGCTCGCAGCACTGACAACGGAATAAAAAGGACTCATGCCAAGAGGCCAAAAGCTGAATGCTGCTGCAAGGCCCTCACTAACTGACGTATCTCACGGACTTCTGCACGAAGCTCTCGAACCTCCTGACGAAGGTGCTGAAGATCGCTGCCAATGCACTAAACGAACCGGCACAGCGCTCGTCGGGGCTGCGGCCATGCAGGCAACCGAGTCCACGCAGTCTGATAGACCGCAAAGCGATATGCTAGAAGGGCCTCACACACAGGGAAAATCAGGATGCCGATCACCATGCCAAGTACCAGGAATGGACAGTGCAGGAAAGGATCTGGTTGGATGAATGAGCAAAGATAGCCAGGATCCAACGGCGGGGGCGACCGATCAATGCGATCGAGCAGCTTTAGGATTATGGCAGCAGTGGAACCAGTACCGAGACCGTGGGACAAGGCTCGGGCCATATGTTCTTGATCCACACACGAAGTGGTAAAAGCATGGGGGTCATATATTCATGAATATATATATATAATATACACATGATCCATGTCCGAACCCCCCCCCCCCGCCTGTTCTCATGCCACCGCTGCCACCTGCCCCCTACTAAGCCTTTCACTATACCAATGCTGAACAAGACGAAGCAAAGAATGGATCAGCACTGGGCCAGGAGTGGCTGAAGGCTAAACCTGTTACAAGAGAAGTTGTTTTTTCGGCTGAGGCTATGCTGAACCAATGCCAAACCAGCCACACTACGCTTTCGACCCCCTCAACCGGCGGCAAGGGAAGGGTGGGCCCGCAGACCTGGATCATGCACAGCAACTACCTATATCCGCCAACCCCTCTCATTTCCGGTTTCCGGGAGGAGCATGGGGAGGAAGCTTGAACTTCTTACTTCCAGCTGCTTCAGCACTATCTTGTTATTTCCTGTACATTAAGCTGAGCAAAGCCCAGAAATTGGATTCTGATGCTAAACGTCTAGGTTTGCAGCGGCGTGTTTTATGAAGGATTCAAGTGTCACGGAAACCATCCGCGGCGTTTGGCGTTTGAGCTGTTTCGGAAGAGATCCTTGTCTACAAGCAGCGGCTTCCGCCTGCGCGCTTTGGCACCGAGACCAAAAGCCGCCCCCGGCCAAGATTTTGCCTGTCTGCTTGGAGTTACAACACACTGTTTCGACAAGATTGTTTTGTGCGGCAGCTGTCCCAGCGCTGGCCCCGATCATTGCCCAGCTAGCGCGGCGCCAGAACCAAGCAGCCTACTTGCACGGCGCAAACCCACAGCATCACAGCTGATAGGTGCTGCAGACTGAGGTGCAAAAAGCGGCTCTGCGCGCGTGCGTGTGCGCGCGCTCGCGCGCCCTGTAGAAAGCCGCTTTCGCGGGCACCGTTGCGCGACAACTTCACTAAATGATACAATAATATCCACATAATGACATGTTTATTCATTGCAATATGTGCATGTGAAAAAGAAGTGCTCCATGCGTCCTCCCGCCTTGTTTCCGACCCTCAAATAGCTCGCAGGCCACTCGTAAAAGCAGCTCTGCACGACGAAGAACCTGGCCGTGCTGATCTTTCCAACCATTCCGAGACCTGACACTCGCTGTGCAAGCTCCAGGGTCGAGGATAAACAGAGGAGTGAGCAAGAGGCATCGCCTAAAAAGGCTTGGATACAACAAAAAGGTACTAGTAAGGTCGATGAGGTGTGATAGAACCTCAACCTGCCGCCATCCATGAGATCAATTTCATCTTTGGCAAATCGGTGTGAGTCTGGAGTGTAGGCTAAGAAAGCAAAGTGCTGGACATACACAACTGATCATTGAAGGATCAAATCTTGGCGTGTCTTTAACTTTCTTTCGGAACTTGGAGCTAGGACAGGACGACAACAGGGTGGCGAAGAGGGAGACGGCAAGTGTCTTTGACAAGGCCCATGCTGAACGCATCTACGCTGAAAGGTACATGTAGCATTCGAGTGGCCACCGCTTGGCTGCTGAAGAACCAGGGAAGACATCACTGCTTGGCACTGAGCCACTCTGCCGGCCCGAGATCTGGGCTGGTTTGAGGGTGGTGTGGCGGCAAATGATTCTTGGCAGGGTGGTGTCTTGCTGGATTTGCTTTGGCCCCTTGCTCAAGGGGGCATTCATGAGGTGCAAGAGGCAGGAACACCCCGGTCGCCTTGAAAGGTCAACGAAGTAGTTAGGCCAGATGTTTCCCAGATGCTCCTCCCTTTGCAACGCTGGTGCGGCACCTGAAGTTCTTTTCAGCAATACCAGTCAGGCATCGCAAAGACTCTGCCCTGCCAAAGGCACATGTCAGCCAAGCTACCCGAGGTGTTAAGCGTGCATTCCAGACTATATTTCCATCGCATGACAGTATCATTCGCAGCCTTGCCTGGCTCTGTTGCGCTCTCAACTCCCGAGGCAGCTGTGCTCGAGGGGAGTCTGCCAGTGCTAGCATGATTAGCACAATCACCTGGCGGACGCTGATTTCTGCGCTTCTGGCAAACATGCTTCATACCACTGCCTTCTTGGCAGCTGAGTCAACAGGCCCAGTCATCGACCAGCCTAAGTGCCAAAGTGCTTGCATGGAGTGCATCAACAATTTGACAATATGCCGACTATGCACAATCACATCAACTCTCCATGGCTTTTTGCCCGCTAAGCATTGGGCGCACCGCCTTCTTGGCAAGGTCCCGGAGCTGGGTCCGCTCACCCTGCCGAGGCCGAAACCTTGGACTGGTTGCAATCCACCCACACAGGTCACAGCGCTTCAGGTTGGACAAGTCTCCGTGAAATCTGCATTCGGAGTACCTGAGGTCAATGCTCTTCGAAGTCCGATGCTTGTGCAAGGAGCCCCAGCAGCTCCTATCTGTCTACATGATGAGGATCTTGAGCAATGGGGAAATGCAGTGTCACTTACACAAGCGCTCCTTCACGTCTGAGGGTGCCGGCTGCTTTTGCAACCAACACAAAGTCTCAAAGCGCACCGAATGGCGGCTGGCAATCTCGCCCAGTGGAGTTGCCTGCAGCTGCAATGAACCTGCTTCGCATGTGATCAACCGGGCGCCAACCATTTTGTCAACTTCCACCTGGCTCAAAGACTGAAGGAATTGCACATCATCCGGCCCATCGAACGAGAGCAACGGATGAACGAAGCCGTTTCCGCTTGAAAGCGGACAAGATTCTGCGTAGCGCTGCGGATCTCCGGCCGCGCGTACAGCTAGGAATGTGCTGCGCAGCCAAGTAAACATGGCATTAAGATTTGGAGTCGTTCTGGCAACAACCTCAGAAAGGAGTGCCTCTGTCAACCTCGCCGGCAAGTGGCTCTCGAGAGGCTGCCCCTTCAGAATCTGCTGCCATCGACTGGCAAGACCGTGTTCGGCCATAATCACCGCAGTCCCTTGCTTGTCAAATTGGGGGCGACCAGCACGGCCCATGATTTGGAGCATCTCCAACTCATCAAACTCTTCCCAGCCGCTCTCTTTGTAAGCTGTTGTGCCCTTCACAACAACTAGGCGAGCAGGAAGATTCACCCCCAGTGCAAGAGTTTGGGTGCAGAAAAGGACCTGCACTGCTGATTGCAGAAACAAACTCTCCACAACGTGCCGGTCAGTTGCATTGAGGCCTGCATGGTGAAATGCCAGGCCGTCTGGAAGCAGACTTTGCAAAGAAGGATCCGACAGAGACGATGCCTTCCCCACAAGCAAAGCACGCATGCGGGCATCCGTTGGCTTGAGACTCGTTTCCCCTTGCAGGTGCTTGGCAGCAGTCTCACAAGCCCGCTTTGTAGCACAAAAGACCAAAGTAGCCTTGCCCTCAGAGAACTGCCGGATCACTGAAGCCAGCTCTCGATTCAGGGACTCTTGAAAGATAAACTCGTTCTTGGCAGATCGGAAGCTCTGCACATGGATGCTCAGTGGAACTGGCCGGAACTCCATTCCAAAGACTTTCACATCTCGGGGCTCCACCTGAAGCCATCTGCCAACGTCTGCAATGTTTGGCACCTGAGAACTGCAGTTGCCGACTGTCAGCAAATCTTCCAAAATGCAAAGCGCTAAGGGGAAGCTGGGCAACCAGCCGTGGCGGACACAGCCAGGAAGCGCACAGCCTGTTGCAACTTGGCTGTTGCCTTTCTGCGAGCTGTGCCAATGCGCCTGATTTCCTGGGCTGTTCTGTTTGGGCCTCACAAGCAGAAATTTCAGCGGGCACAAGTGGCACAAGTGGCACAAGGCTGCCACGCTCGTAATCTGGCCACGACGGCTTCCAGAACAGCTCCTCGTCTTGGCATGTTCAGCATATGCACCTGCAGCAAGTACAAGAGCGCAAATCGGTGCCAGGCATTCGGCCTCGTCCAGACACACCAGCTTCACCTCGTCCTCACAGAACAAAGGCAAAGATCTGCTAGGTAGTCATGGTCAAGCGCAACACAACCTCTATGCTTGCCAAGCTTCAACCAACTCAAATCCTTTTGCAGATCGGCCAGCCTTGCACTGTGTGACACTTTCATGGCAAGTCCGGAGGTACCAATTGGCCTGCCGCATGAAGACATCCCACCTCAAGTCAAAAAGCTAACAGCATCGCCTCAAGAAATGGGAAATCTTGGCCTTGGGGCCACGCATCTCAGGAGTTGCAACGATCACTCTGGCTCTTGCCAGGCGAGGTGCTGCTGAACCTACGAGATTAAAGCTCCATGCCGTTGGGGTACATGTGACTCAGAAGCCCCTCCTTTCATGTGCAATAGGTTTCAACTGTGGCGACTGGAAGGAGAAAAGGATACGCTTTGTGCCTCCCTTCTGAGCCCGATTTGATCCCTGTGCCACACCCCGCAGTATCCTTATGATGATTGTCAAAAGTCCTGGTGTGAGGGATCCCTGCACATCCAAGCAAGCAGGTGCTTTGATGGTGGCAACTATGGGCTGATGCTGGAACTGATGACAGCAAGTTACCCGAATTCTAGCAAGGTCGCCTTGTCCGCAACGTCCAAACACCACCCCCTCGTCATCCCCCGTGAGTTCCGCAACTTCCTGAGTTGCAAAAGCATCTCTGTGAACATTGACATGGGGTATGCAGAAAGGTTGCAAGAGCTAAGCCCTGGACTTCACCAAGTGTGGCAAACAGGCGCTTCCAGTCTCGTGCCTTCTCCTGGCAAAGTGCCTCAGCGGTATTTTCAACTGATCAGCCAACATTTTGTTGGGATGCCCAACCAGTATAAAGGAATGGAAGCATGGAAGCAATGGCAAACGGCAACTTTGCGTGTTTGGGCATGGTGCAATGATCAGATCCTGGACATCCAGCCCGCCTTGAGCGGGGCAAGGTACAGAGCCTTGGACTTGGGATGTCCATCACGGAGCCTGGGATGTTCACATCATGATGCACGGCAAGCACCCGCGCTCATGCTTCTAGCACTGTCTTTTGCAAGCTGGAACACTGGAAGACGCTGCCTGTGATGCGCACTGTCTTCGAAAATCAAAGCAATAAGGGTGGCACACAGCCAGAAAATTGCAGTTGTGCTCACGCAGCACTACTGTTGCCAAATCCCAAAGCACTTGTCCCTCACTGGCCTCTGACAGCCATACGATGCAATATGGTTTTGGTTGCCAGTTGAAACCAGTGCTCAATATTCAGGCTGCCCTACATGGAAAGGAACCCTCTGTTGGCAAGTGCTTCAGCACCAAGGCCAAACGACTTCTTTGAAGTTAGTGAGGCTGAAAAAGTACTGCATCTAATTTAGCTGGCAAGCAAAGTCTGGAGCATTGTCGGCTGAGAATGCAGGCTACACGAAGCCGCTGCTGCTGGCTGCAGGCATTGCGTGCGGCTCTCGCCTTGAAGAACATTGTTCACCAAGGCTCATCCGCAACACGCAGGCCGCAATCCCAACACGCGGCAGCCTCACTGCTCCCTCCAAACAAGCGACTGGCCTTCTTGGATTTTGGTGTGATTTCATTTGAAAAGACATCTACCGACAAGCTAAAGCCTCGGCTGTGCTCACGAAGCGGGGGGCCGGACTTGCGCCACGAAGGCCTTTCAGACCGAGAAACAACATGTGACGAACACCCGGCAGACGAACCAAAATTCATCCAGGCCTCAATGTCCTTTTCGATCTTGGCAGAATCCTGCATTGAATTCCATGTGAACAGGAGCTATTGATGCCGAATCCGAAAGCGTTTGCATAAGCGCGTAAAAGGTCCACATGCAGCAGAGGCCAAGCATCCTTCTGATTGCCAGCACATCAAGACTGCAAGCATGACAAGATGGCAAGCCTTTAGCGACAGCCGCAAGCATTGCCAATGATGTTGCATCTGACAGCATGAAGGCCATCTCTCAGTTCACGGTCCTTTAAGCCGTCTTTGAGATGTTGAGGAATCCGCGCAGATCCGTGAGCGGCTCCAATCAATGCGCCCATGACCATGCCTATCAGGGCTGGGTCTATTTGCGTCGTCTGGTGTGAGGTGCACAAAGCAAAGCAACCAAGAAATAGCAGGCTGAACAAAAGCAAACCCATATATGCAACCAAGAGATACCTAGGTCAATGTGAGCCATACGTCGTCTTCGGTGACCAGTGTCTTCATGGAGACCAAATATGGGGCCATTTTGGCCCACAGGCTTTTTCACTTGTGCTCTGATCGCAAGACTCGCTTCGAAACCTATGGCAATCCACAGTCTACATGCTTACACAGAATGCCCCAATCACGATGTGTCTGCGTGCGTCCGCGTGTCCGCGTGTGTCCGCGCGCGCGCGTGTGTGTGTGTGTGTGTGTGTGTGTGTGTGCGCGTGCGTGTGCGTGTGCGTGTGCGTGTGCGTGTGCGTGTGCGTGTGCGTGTGCGTGTGCGTGCGCGTGTGGGTGTGCGTGTGGGTGTGCGTGTGCGTGTGCGTGTAGGTGTGCGTGTGC